CAGCTCCAAACTTTAGAACGGTATTGTAAACATTTTTACGAAACTATACACTTGTTTACTCACCAAAGACAATTTTACTCACATTTGGTGCTCAATGAGTCAGAAATTTCCATACAGGGAAATATATACTATTTTGAGGGAGATATAGCACATACAAAATGAATATAATGGCATATAATGAGAGAAATATATGAATGTGGAAAACGTGGGAAATGTGTGAGTGGAACAGAGAGGAAGAAGGGCACAAAGAGGCTCAAAGATGGATGGAAAACCAAATAAAGCAACAGAGGAAAATGATCGAGGGAGAGGTAGAGGGATGGAGGGAATGTGCAGTGAGGTGTGAAGCAGAAAACAGTAGAACTTTGTTACTCTAATGCACACACACTCAACAATGCTTGCTATGTTTAAAGATAAATTTTCCTCTCTCACACACACGCACACACACACACACACACACACACACACAGGTATACACACACACACACAGGTACACACACAGGTACACACATATACACACACATATACACACACACAGGTACACACACAGCATGTAAACACCTTCATATGAACTAGAGACAAAGATCTGATCTGATCTGATCTGATACTCACGGAGATTCCCGCTGAACTTTGTCTGATGATTCATCAGCTTCTAGTGAAGAATAACACAACAAATTAAAGGCACATAAACAGACTTCCACAATACACACACACACAAACACACACTTACTGAGAGTCGGGAATCCATGTGTCTCCTGTCAAAGCAGTTACAAGAATGAATGTTCAAAAAAGAATGAGCTCAAGAATGAGTTCAAATGCTAGTGTTTCAGTGACCAACTAAACCATTTATTCTGATCTAACCTCATTAGTGGAGGAGAACTTAGGCGGCTCGGCTGTGGTTGGCGTGCAAATGGTCGTCAGTAGTGGAGGCCATGAGGTCATTTCCTGTGTGTGAGAGAGACACTGAACTCCCGCGGCTTTCCTATCAATCGAGACTGTCCCAAACTCAACTGACCTGCAGAATGTCCCCCACACGCGCTCCAGACACAATCTGCAGACGGACAGAGAGAGAATGTGGCCTTGTTTAACATTTGGATGATGAAACACACAGGGTCAGTTTCGCTCTCACTGTAATAACGTCTGCGGATAAACACTCACATCAGCAGACTGCAGAGCGGGAAGGTTTGGTTTGCTGCTCTCCTTCAGGTCCTGTAAGTGCTCATAAGACTCCGGTGAGGCCTTCAGTTCGGGAGAACCGCTGGTCACCTGGTCCTGACCGACCGTCGGCCTCACATATGCTGTGGGTTTCTTGGCGTTGGCCAGTTTACCATGCAAATTCAGCGGGAGTGCGTGAGTCAGCGGAGGCGCGTCTGGCCTGCTGCGCTCTGGACACGGGCCGCCGTCCGAGTCACTGGACTGTAGAGGGGACAGCGGCTCCACCGGGGGACACAGGGCCGGTAAACTGTCCCAGCTCTCACCTGAAGGAGGGCCGGAGTCTGAAGCGGCTCTGGAGCGATCCGTGCATCCCGACTGCTCGTCCACGTGAGGGAAGTGCGCAGAACGCTCATTATGAAGCGCAGGACAAAGTTCCTCAGGTCCGTCATATCCTTCCTCATAATTACCCAGCATCCTCTGGATGAGACTGGACAGCTCATCATCTTTGATTCTCTGCGAAGTAAATCAGACAAAGGAATAAGTGGCTTTATGCTCCGTGATACTGCAGCACTCACATCTAGGGTTAGCAGCTCAGGCGTCTTTGATTATGAGACGTCAAGCTCCCAAAGCACTGACACACAAGACATCTATGTTTACTAATATACACCAACCCATCCGGTATGACAGTACACCGATATATAATGTGAATATAAAGAGTCATAGTAAGTTTCAGTGTACAGCTGTGGCTGTGGCGTTTAATCAAAAAAATCTGTTAAAATGAAGTTTGTTGCAAAGAACTGAATAAAAATAATATATTGATATTTAATATTAATATATTTTCTGTCCAATTTTATTGTGCTACTTTCAATAAAAATGTGGTTATTTTTTGGCTTGTATTTTTTTTTTTTATTCAGTATCATTAAAATTGAGTTAAATTAAAAAGTCTTACAAAATTACTATTTAAGAAAATAATACATAATTATTAAAAAGCATTTTCAGTTTCAGTTTCGGTTTTAGGCCAAGTGCATCCAGAATTTTCGGTTTCGGCCCAGAATATTCCTTTCGGTGGATCCCTAATTTATATGGCTCTGCACGGCATCACGCTGGACATGTTCATAGTAGAACAGTTCACATGAAGAATCGTCACGCAAACAGAGCAGAGGATTTAACATCTGCTCAATGTGCTCATCAGACTGAATCTAGTCCAGCTTATGTAGTGATCGAGAGTTTGAGCTCATATAGTGACTGTCAAACACACACTTCACTTCTCTCACCAAAGACCTTGAGAACACAAACACACTCCGAGTTTCACATCATCACATGATGATCACACACACACCCCAACACACACACACACACTCGCTCTCACACACACTCACTCACACACACTCTCACACACACACAGGTTTGTTTTTGTGAAAAGTGGGGACATCCCATAGGCGTAATGGTTTTTATACTGTACAGACCGTATATTCTATTGCCCTACACCAACCCTACCCCTAAACCTACCCCTCACAGGAAACTTTGTGCTATTTCAGATTTTCAATACACTCCATTCTGTGTGATTTATAAGCGTTTTGAAAAGTGGGGACATGGGGTAATGTCCTGAAAAGTAACCTTCTCCTTGTAATACCTATGTCATACCCTTGTCATTATACAAATTTATGTCCTCATTTGTCACAAAAACGCACACACTCACACTCACACACACACACACACACACACACACACACTCACACCCACGCACACACACTATCACACACACTCACTCACTCACTCACTCACACACACACACACACACTCACACACTATCACTCACACACACGCACTCACACACACTCACTCACACACACACACACTATCACACACACTCACTCACACACACACACACTCATTCACACACTCACTCACACACACTAGGCTTGCCGCGATAGACGGTGTTGACGGTGATACCGGTGTTAAGCCGCAACACCGGTTACGTCACTTGCCCACCGCGCGACCCCCACCCACCATCGTTTTGATTTTTTGTAGTAATAAAAATAATTTAATTCAGTAAAAGAACAGACACTACAATTAAAAACTGAACGCGGCTGCTCAATGCAGCGTGCCGAACAACAGTCGCATCACAGATCAGATTTCATTTCTCCAGTGAGGAGAGTGAGTCGAGCTGACTGACAAGAAGAGTGAGGTGAGACAGACAAGACGATCGCGGATGATTTAGTTTAGAAACGAAATGCAAAAGCGCCTGTTTGACAGTATTTTGGATTTTGAAAACCTGTTGACTTTTGCCGTTTATCTAAGCTGATTTTGGAAGTTTTTTAAAACATTCGTTTCTTATTTAATTGGTTCCACATTATTTGCAGATTTTTACTTTATTTAAACTTTGTGTCACTTATTTTATTTGACATCAAGGTGTATGCCGTGCCTCCAAGCTTTCTTACTCGTTTTGCCAATAAACGTTCTACGTTTCTTATTTATTTGGTTATATATATATTATACATGTTTACTTAGCCTATTTCCAGTTTTGTATACCTATTTAAACTTTATGTAAGTTATTTGTTATTTTATATTAGGCATAGCCTGCCCTATAGCATGGTGTATTTTTATTTGTTTTGTTAATAAAAGTTCTATGTTTTATATATAGGCTAAAATGAGTTTGACGTTGTATTTTGTTGTTGCCTTCAAGCAATCGATGCTGAACTGCCGCTAATTCAAAAGTGAAAGTAAAATGAGCACGGCGCTTTTAAGCTATTTAAAAGCGCAGGAAAGCGAGGAAAAGAGGGAAAATTCAAACAAACTAAAAACGAACAATTGCTTTACGCCGAATTGCCGCTATTTGAAAGTGAAAGTAAAATGAGCACGCAGCTTTTACAAGCTATTTAAAAGCGAAGGAAAGAGAGAAAAAGAGAGAACGCCCCGCCCCCGCGGTGATACCGGTATTACCAGTGTTGTCACACGTCGATTAACCGGCGGGAAAATTTCCTCACCACCACAACCCTAACACTCACTCACTCACTCATACTCACACTCACTCTCATACTGACACTCACTCACACTCACACACACATACACACACTCACACACACACACTCACACTAACACACTCACACACACTCACTCACACTCACACTCACACACACACTCACACTCACACACTCACTCACTCACACTCACACTCACACACACACTCACACTCACACACTCACTCACTCACACTCACACTCACACACACACTCACACTCACACACTCACTCACTCACACTCACACTCACACACACACTCACACTCACACACTCACTCACTCACACTCACACTCACACACACACTCACACTCACACACTCACTCACTCACACTCACACTCACACACACACTCACACTCACACACTCACTCACTCACACTCACACTCACACACACACTCACACTCACACACTCACTCACTCACACTCACACTCACACACACACTCACACTCACACACTCACTCACTCACACTCACACTCACACACACACTCACACTCACACACTCACTCACTCACACTCACACTCACACACACACTCACACTCACACACTCACTCACTCACACTCACACTCACACACACACTCACACTCACACACTCACTCACTCACACTCACACTCACACACACACTCACACTCACACACTCACTCACTCACACTCACACTCACACACACACTCACACTCACACACTCACTCACTCACACTCACACTCACACACACACTCACACTCACACACTCACTCACTCACACTCACACTCACACACACACTCACACTCACACACTCACTCACTCACACTCACACTCACACACACACTCACACTCACACACTCACTCACTCACACTCACACTCACACACACACTCACACTCACACACTCACTCACTCACACTCACACTCACACACACACTCACACTCACACACTCACTCACTCACACTCACACTCACACACACACTCACACTCACACACTCACTCACTCACACTCACACTCACACACACACTCACACTCACACACTCACTCACTCACACTCACACTCACACACACACTCACACTCACACACTCACTCACTCACACTCACACTCACACACACACTCACACTCACACACTCACTCACTCACACTCACACTCACACACACACTCACACTCACACACTCACTCACTCACACTCACACTCACACACACACTCACACTCACACACTCACTCACTCACACTCACACTCACACACACACTCACACACACACTCATACTCACACTCACTGAAACACACACTCACACACAATCACTCACTCACTCACACACACTCACTGACACACTCTCACACACTCATACTCACACTCACTCACTCACACACACACACTCTCACACACTCATACTCACACTCACTGACACACACACTCACTCACACACTCTCACACACACTCTCACACACACACACTCACACACACACACTCTCACACACTCTCACACACACACACACACTCACACACACTCACTCACTCACACACACACGTGTTATGAGAAACGTCACCTTATACGGCTTGTTGAAGAGAGGAGCGATTCTGTCATACTGCGTCTCCTCCTGCTGCACCCCCTGACTCCTTCTCTCCTTCTCCATCCGTCGCAGCATGTTGCGATCCTCCATCTGCACACTGCTTGAAAACACACACACTGTGCATCAGGGTACAAACATAAATACAAACTTGAAATCAACTTAAACTCAACATTTAGACACGCATGCCACACCTGAGCCGTGTGTGTGTGTTCATGATGAAGGGAAATAAAAGCCCCGAGAGGCTTGTATGTTCTGAAGGGTGTGTTCTGCGTGTGTCTCAGGTGTGTGTCCTGAGGGAAAAGTGTGTAAGGAACATCTGCTCTCAAATAAGTCTCTCTCTATCACACACACACACACACTTATGCAGATCAGAGACCTGCTCATCATGTCTGTCAGATAACAGAATAATTAGCATTACAGTCATTCATGCTGAAACCAAAAAAATTTATAAAAATAAATATCTCCTATTCTAATGTAAACAGACACACTCATGTTTGTGTTGATGTGTGACATACAGCAGATACAGTCACATTCATCAGATATGAATGTGATTATCAGCGCTTACTGAAGGTCAAAGGTCATCACAGCAGATGACCACCTCTCTCTCTCACACACACACGCACAACGGAAATCACACATCTAACATGCGTCCAGCCACTGTGTGTGTGTGTGTGTGTGTTTGCGTGTGTGAGAGAGTGTGTGTGTGTGTGTGAGTGTGAGTGTGTGTGTGTTTGCGTGTGTGAGAGAGTGAGTGAGTGTGAGTGTGTTTGCGTGAGTGTGTTTGCGTGTGTGAGAGTGTGTGTGTGTGTGTGAGTGCGTTTGCGAGTGAGTGTGTGTGTGTGTGTGAGAGTGAGAGTGTGTGTGTGTGTGTGTTTGCGTGTGTGAGAGTGTGTGTATGTGTGAGAGTGAGTGTGTGTGTGAGATTCAGATGAATGATTGTGTTTTTTTCTCCGGCCTAAAACTATTTGACACACACACACAAATCGCCAACACACTGATACTATATTTGACAGTAATCATTAATTCATTTATAGGGATTAAATCAGATCATTTCAGCATGAAGGTGATTCACACTCGCGTTTGTGTCCGTTATTTACACGACACTCTTATTTATTTGTATTCATTCGTGTGACCATCAGTCCTTTATGCTTCAGTTCAATTCTAAATCTTTCGATCCGTTTCATAAGTTCATATTTGTCAGCTTCCCGTGTGGATTTGGTGTGTTTAAAGACTTTGTGGGAACGTCAGTGTTTACTTGTGTTTTAGTTCCTCATTGAGATCGTTTTTCCAGAGTTTTCTCACCTGCTCCCTCCGCTCATTCTCGGCTTGTACTGTCCGCTGTCAGGCGCCGGTTTTCGGTCGCTCATGACGAGACGATCCGCCGATTTATCACATTTCGTCAAATCTAGAAATCAAAGATGACTTTTAGAAATCGCAGTTTGGCTGAAGCGAACTCAGCAGCAGAACGGAGCTCCGCGGACGCGTCCACTCAGGAGGGCGGGTCAACTGAGGCACAGTGCTTCAGATTAGTGTGTCAAACAGACACGATTAAACTATATATTGAACAACAGACTCCTTTTGTAACCTAACTCATAAGCCATTTTAAGAATTAACCATTAATTCGTATAATTACTCGTGCGGATATTATGAAGTGAAGTGCACACCCCCGTGCAGTATTGAATGGTTCCGGCTCACCACTCCTTTTATGGGCATATTATTGCACGAGCGCGCACGCCAGCAGGCACGTCATCACGGAAGCGCCGTGATACTGATTAAAGTAAATAATAATACAGTGTTAACTTATATATGTAAAAATACAGACACTGATAGTAAACGCTTACAGATACATGCTTTAAATAAAATAAGTGAAGGTTAAATCGCTAAATGAAACGGGGTTTTAACTGAATTTGATTGAGTGTCATTTTTAATTGCACTTTTCAGCTGCTGTAAAACAATTAGTGTTTTTAACTCAGTGCACCGGAAGGACTGCCTCTTTTGCAAAGTTTGTACTTGCTTTTTAATAATCATTTGAAATTGGCAAACTGGCAGCTCCAGTAGTAAACACTTTAATAATTGCAATTTACAATGAATTTATCCCTGTATTGAATCAGCTGCAGGCGCCATCTTCTGGCGAGACGCAGCAATTCATTCGCCGCACGACTCTCACAGTGCATTATGGGTATTCTCTAGCCGTTGAGCATACATCAGTTATACACTCGTTATTGCTGAGCATTGTGGGATTGAATGAGTGCACTCGTAAATGTCCACTAAATAAGGTTCCGGACACCACTAAAAATGGCTGTCCCCTAAAGTAGTGCCTTATTTAAGGGTATAGAGGCCAATTTCAGACACAGTGTAAAACTACAGCTGCAGCGCAATTATAAGTCTACTTACTAAATCATTCACTCAACCGATTCCGTCAACAAGGAATGAAACACTACTGTGTTGCTCGGAGTCGCAGCGGTTTATCCTGCTTTGGTGGAACTATTTCATTGACGGAGCAAAAATACACAATGCAACTATACACTGTGTCCAAACAACTCCTTGTTCAGTGAACTGTTAAATAAAAGAAATATCACACTTACAGTCAGTGGCTCAGGTGTACGGCACTGTGTGTACCACGAGCGCTCAGACTGACCTCAGATTAGCCCCGCTAACATTTCAGCAGTTATTATATGTGTCCCGTACTTCTGTCGACTGAACCAGCCATGCCATTAATTAGGAATGTATCAGTCTTTTGCATGCCAAAGTCAATTTCTGCATATAAATATACGCCAAATAGAAGCAGAAAATCTGCTATACGCACTTTCATGAGATCGGGATAGCCTACAACTATTAATTTGTATTAATTTGTTGGATATTTTACAAAGGAGAATACAACGAATTCATGACAATGTTTTACATTCAAGCTACCCGTAAAATTTAGAGTGAAAAGTACTTTAAAGGGGTCATATGATGCTTTTTTAAAGATCATTATTTGGTGTATTTGGTGTAACAGAATATGTTGACATGCTTTAATGTTCAAAAAACACATTATTTTTCAAATACTGTACATTATTGTAAGTCCTCTATGCCCCGCCTCTCTCAAACACTTAGTTTTCTACAAAGCCCCTCCTTCCGACAAGCGCAGTCTGCTCTGATTGGCCAGCTGACCCAAGCACTCGTCGGAAATGTAACGCCCCTTACCATAATCGCGAGCTTCATCTTTCAAAATAAATGTAAAGACAGTAAATAATGTCATTAGTTTTACCATCAGTTCAAGCCCGAAAGGGCAACACAGTCGCGTGACAGACACAGTGATGAAGCCGGTATGTGTTTGCAGTACACAAGCCACGGTTAAAACAGCTGACTCCACTGTGATGTGACCCTGTCTCTCTCTCTCACACACACACGATGCGCAAAACTCCGCATTTGAACAGTCAATAGCAAATACATAAACTAATAACAAAACAGTAGCTGATTCAGAAGCGCCAGATTGTCATAGCAAAGTCAGAATTACCTCCTCTCATAGGTTCACGAAACGGTCGTCCATAAAATGCATTGCTGTTCTGTTGTAAGTAATCTTAAAGATTCCTAAATGCATCTACTTCCGGAAGGCCAAATAAAGTGCTTTTGCTTTCGCCTAGAAACACACAGCATCTCCCTGACATGGCTGCTTCAACACTAACTGCGGTTACTGAAACCACGCCTTCTTTCTTTGCGTGCACATTTGGGCAGCATTACGCAAATATTTCCACATAGTGACGTAGATATGTGGGGGCGTGTTAGAACGAGCCGTTTTAGGGGGGCGTGGCAGAGTCTTAACTTTGATAAAGAATATCTCTTTGGTTTTGAGACTTTAGTCTTTGCAACTTCAGGGATCTTATCTATGCACAATCAGCTTGTAACACTCCAAAGAGAAAGGAAAACTTGAAATCGCATCAAATGACCCCTTTAA